CCCCTCAGGAATAAATAAAGTATTGCATATTTGCCCTTTTACAGGGAGGAAGATGAAAAAGCAAAAGCTGGAAGGTGTTTTAGCTCCTGTCTTCCCCACTGTGAACAGTTTAAGACCTGTTTATGGGCAGAAATTAGGCAAGGTGGAAATACCATTATCTCCAGAACACCGTGAAATTCAACAAACTTCAGAAAGATAGGCAGTGTTTCAAAAAATATGTTTAAATGCAAGCTCCACGTCAAAGGAGGAGGTTGGTTTACCTTCAGCAGCACCTTCAAATACAAAGTACTGCTCAGAGGGAAGGTAAACAGGATTCCAGCACAAGCAGTCTTTAAAATAGAGGCTGATAAGCTGAACACCACATAAAAATGACTCCATTGTGTGAATAACAATCAAATGGGTCCAGAAAACAGAAATGACCCGTCTTCACAGATATTATTACTGCACTTGGCTGCCTCATGGCTCAATGCCCTGCTCATAATAAATGGTTTTGAAAAACAGCATTTTTATAGAGTGGTTGGTTTGCTGAGCTCCTCTGCTCCTTGCTGTGCTGAGGCAGGAATTGCTCATCACTCAGGGAACCCAACTCAGAACATAAAAGCAACCCCAGCAAATCAAGGCAAGATCCTCCTAATCCTGCTCCTTTGTTCCCAGCAGCAGCTTTTTCCCCACAGTGCTCTCAGACTCTGGGATCTGCAGCTGAAGGACTTTCTGAACCAGACACTGTCACTGCACATCCAGGGGATTTACAGTCACTCGTCATTAATGTTTTTCTCCTCCACAAACTCACCCATGTGCTTTAGAAACTCTGGTAGGTTTGTGCCATCCACACTGGATAATATCCCTGCTCCATCTATAATTTTGTGCCCTCTAATTACGTGTAGTTAAGCTGTTACATAACAATCCCAACCTGTCTGCCAAGGGGTGGAATTCCTAAGCAGGAGGGAATGAGGGGGGTGGAAAGAGGCTTATAAACACCTCTGTGGCAAGATAATCTTATCTCAAAGCCTTTGTTCTTCAAGATTGCTCAGGGAGTTAATGTTTGTGGTTATGAAATACAGATGTCTTTGGAATAAGGGGGTGGGGGGGAAGTAATAATGTTGTTTGCTGGAGGTACAGCTCAGCAGAAAGAATCCAGAGGAGAAGGATCTGGAAGCTCTTTGTATAAGTGTTTCTGGGAATGAGAAGACTTGTCAGGATCAGTTCAGGGAAAGGAGGATTTGATCTGCTTCTGTCTGAAGAGTTCCTGGATCAAATTGAGAGATCAAATCCAACAAACATGGAATTCCAATCAATTCCACCAAACATGGAATTCTGCTTGCCAGCAGTTTGTCCCTTTGTCCTTCAGAGGATATCCCACTGCCCCACACCCTCCAGGGCTCCCCTGAGGAGAACAGCAATGCACAAGCCTCCCCTGTGGGCAGCTCCTTGTGCTGTCAGAAGTCACCCACTCCCTCAGACAGAAACAGCAGGAGAACCTGGATGGTCCTTGAGGTGCCTTCCAACTCCAATAACCCCAAGATTCTATGATTCTATCCTTGATTAAGAGTGGGATTCCCATATCGAGCACTGCTTCTGAGGCTGCAAAACCCCATCACACCAGGACTCTGCTTGGAGATTTAGAAAGTGTGACGTGGGATCAGATTTAAATCCAAATGCTTTGTACAAACTGCTCCAGGCCTCTAATCCCACCTGGCTGCTCATTAAGAATTCCCTTAAGAACTTCCTGCTCCATGCAGCTTTACTGGATGTTTAAGAAATTGGGCAGTGGCTGAACTGCACCAAAAGGCCCCTTTTTAGAAGGATTCTTTGCTGGGAAATTTGCAGCTTTGTCCTTGCTGCCTCCATACAGTCTTGGACATTAAGGTCCATCCAATTCCAACTCCCTGCCATGGGCAGGGACATCTTCCCCTACCCCAGGTTGCTCCAAGCCCTATCCAGCCCAGCCTTGGACACTTCCAGGGATCCAGGGGCAGCCACAGCTTTCCTGTCAGGCTGCCAGCTGGAGCTGCAGGGATTTCAAATGAAGAATAATTCCCCAGAAAGGAAAAATGAAAAGGTAGAATTTGCAAGCAAGAAGCACAGCTCCAAACCCTGAGCAGAAACAGCTCTGAAGGCCATGGTAAAATGTAGGACTGCATTTGTCACCTCACAGGGCACATTCCTGTGCTTGAGATCCAAAAATGCTGAACCTGGGTTCATAACCACCAGATATTCAGCTTCTCTTCATTCAAGAAGAATGTGCTCATTCCAGCACTCTTGTCCTCTAGAGAATTGTCAAGTTCCCAAACAGCATAAAAAGAAATGTATCCAATGGAGAGTGCCATCCTATTCCAGTTCAATATACCTGATATCAAGAGAATTTTCCCTTTCTAAGGCGATTTCAGTTTTCCCTTGTGGAGTCCAGCAGAATCTGGGTGTCAGCCTCACCCCAGTGTGGTCCTTGCTGTGGACATGCAGCTCCACCAACTTTATTCTCTTCATGCCCTCTTACTTAAAAAGAAGTATTGCTAGGATGAGTTTTCTTCTCAGAACAGCTACGCCCATCTCCTGCACACAATCAGCCAGCAGGCTCTGTCCTGTGATACGATAAAGGCGGCCCAGGAGTTCGATGAGCAGCTGTGAGTGTGGGTGCTGATAGGAGGGTGGACCTCCAGTTTTGGGGCACAGTGCCACAACTCAGCTGTGCAGAGAGCACAAACACAATGATTCCAGCAGTCCCTATCCCAGCAAAGAGCCTCTTGGCTGAGCAAATGGTGGTTTCTGCACCTAAGATCAACCAGGTGGCTCATTCTGTTGGGCTGAAGGCATTTAGGACTTGGCCATACACATGAGACACTGACCTTGATGGGAAAGGGGGAAAGATCTCCTTCTATTGTACTTTTAGGAAGCAGTGTAAAATCTAACAGATCCTGCCCAGCCACCGTGACCTCAGTAAGAGCAGGAACACTAAAAAGCGGAGTCTAAGCAAGGGAGAGTTAGTTTTAGCAGTTGTTCATGTAGAACAGCCACCGGAAGGATGTGAAGGCAGCATCTTTGGATCAAAATTTGAAATGCAGAGGTGATTTTTAGCAACAAAAAGATCATTTGGGTACTACATCCCTCTCTGATGTCTGGGCAGTCGAGGAGCTGGTGGTACAGCCTGGGAGAGACAATTGCAATGGTGTGATTGACACCAGGAAGAACTTCTTTCCTGTGCAGTGACAGAGCACAGAACAGATTGTCCAGAGAGGGTCTGGAGTCTCCTCACTGCGGATATTCCAGAACTGTCTGGACACAATCCTGTGCTCTGGCATGACCCTTCTTGAGCAGGGAGGTTGTACCAGATGACCTCCAGTGGACCTTTCCAACCTGACCTGTCCTGGGACTCTGGGAATTAGCGATTCTGGGATTTGGGATTCCGTGACCAGTGCTGTGTTGTACAGTGGCTCAGCCGGTGAATGCTGACCAACAAGAGAGCTGGAGAGAGATGTGGGACAAGAGCATGGAGTGGAAGGAAGAGGGGGAATGGCTTCCCACTGCCAGAGGACAGGGTTAAATGAGATATTGGGAAGGAATTGTTCCCTGTGAGGGTGGGGAGGCCCTGGCACAGGGTGCCCAGAGAAGCTGTCACTGCCCCATCCTTGGCACTGTTCCAGGCTAAGCTGGACAAGGCTCGGAGTAACCTAGGATGATGGAAGGTGTCCCTGCCCACGGCAGGGGATGGGCTGAGCTGTAATGTCCCTCGTCCCCCGGACTCTCCGTGTCGCGCTGTCCCCGTGCCCGGGCACCGCCCGCCCTCAGCTCCGGCGGGGCCGCCGCGCCCCGCCCGGCACCGCCGCCCCTCACGGCGAGTGACATCACGCCCGTGTGACGTCACCGCCCAATCCCCTGGGCGGCCGCCGCTGACGTCAGGCCTCGGTCCCGGCGCGAGGGGCCCCGGCTGAGGGACGTGGCGGTGGCAGCGGCAGCGCGGCGGGAGCGGGGTGAGCGCGGGGATGGACCGGACCGGACCGGGGGCTGCGGGGCCTTGGGGGTCCGGTTTTGGGGGATGTGGGATCGCGGGGCCGCCCTGCTGCCGGCGCGACCGAATGAATGGGGTGGGGGAGGGGCGGCTTCCCCCGGCACCGCGTGGTCCCCTCCTTTGGGGACACTTCGGGACCGGGACCGGGGCGGCGGTTCGGTGCTCGTGGCACTTTGGTGCCTCACCGCAGACTCGCTGCGGGCGGGCGGGTTTTGCTGGTGCCCATCACCCGCCCCGGCTCCTCGGTTTCATCAGCGGAGGCTGTGCCGGGTGAAGTGCCAGGGAATCGGGGAATGGTTTGGGCTGGAAGGGGCTTTAAAGATCCTCCCGTTCCAACCCGTGCCGTGAGCAGGGACACCTTCCACTAGACCAGGCTGCCCCAAGTCCCGTCCAACCTGGCCTTGGACACTTCCAGAGGTCCAGGGGCAGCCACAGCTTCTCTGCAAGCTGTGCCAGGTCCTCTCAGCTGAGAATTCCTCATGCTCACAGCTGAGAATTCCTTCCCAATAGCCCACCTAAATCTACTTTTTTCATGTTTAAAGCTGCTACCCCTTGTCCCTCCATCCCTTGTCCCAAGTCCCTCTCCAGCTCTCCTGGAGCCCCTTTAGGCTCTAGAAGGGCTCTGAGCTCTCCCTGGAGCCTTCTCTTCTCTGGGGGAACATCCCCAGCTCTCCCAGCCTGGCTCCAGAGCAGAGGGGCTCCAGCCCTTGGAGCATCTCTGTGGATTCCTCTGGACTTGCTCCAGCAGCTCCACATCCTTTTGCTGTTGGATCCCAGGTCTGGAGGCAGCTCTGCAGGTGGGGTCTCACCTGAGAGGGGCAGAATCCCCTCTCCCCTGCTGCCCACTCTGCCCAGGATGCACTGGACATTCTGGACCAATTTTCCTTCCAGGAAGTTTCACGCTGTTCAGCAGCTGCGTAATCTCTCCCTCCCTTTTTTTTTTTTTTCTTGTTTATTTTTGGTGTCTGAGGTCAGGTTCCCAGCAGGTCCCTCACGGCTCGGGCTGACGTCTCCTCTTGGCGGGCTCCGCGAGGGGCTCAGCCTCATCCCCGGCCGTGCGTCACCCCTGGGACAGGAGCCGTGCGTGTGTGTCAAGGTTATTCCAGCCGAGCTTGGCCAGCAGCTCCCTGCCAGAGGGAACAGCTCCAGACTGGACACCCTGGCACATCCCCCCTGCCAGGGGACACCGGCAGGGACGCAGCGTCCCAGCTTGGGGGGTCTCAGAAGCAGAGGAATTGCCAGCAGGGAATGTGAGATGCATTTGTGTCCAGCTATCCAGGCAGCAGTTACTGGAGTTGAGCTGAGAGTATCCCTTAGTTGTTGCAGCTTGAGTGCTCCCAAATGCAGGAATCTGATGGAGTTTCCACTTGGCAGCACTTGGGCACCACAGAGGCTTTCCTGGGAGCAGAGTGGCTTGTGCTTCATCTTCTGGATGCCCAAGGAAGGTGCTGCCTTTCTCCTCAAGCTCTTGATACAGTCGGGAAAATTAGAGGAGCTTCCCAATGCATAAGCAAATCTGCAGGTCTGAAGGAGAAACTGTGGGGTTTGGAGCCAGCTGGGAGTTGAGAACTTGGAGCTCAGTGAGTTGGTGTGGACCGTGTTCCTGAGGATGTGGTTGGGAATCTGTGAGATCCTGTGCCCTGCAGCGTCCCTTCATTTTCTTAGAAAGAAGAAAGTTCTGGATTCTTTGGTTTAGCTCCCTGAAGGGGCATCCTGTGGCATCCCAGCAGCTGTGCAGCCCCAGAAATCCTGTGGGAGCTCTGGGGTTTGGTTTGACCTCTTGTTCCTCCCTCTCTCCCATTTTCTTTGAAGCTTGCAGTGGGACTTTCCTGACAAAGCCCATGACTTTCTTATCTTTCTTATCACCGTGGCATTCTATTAATAACTAATTTACAAGAGCTGCTGCTTTCCATAAGCATTTTTGACTTTTATGTGAGCAACAGGTGTTGCTGCTTATGTAACACCTTGGAAACCTCACAGAGGATCAGCAGCTGGCAGTTCACTCACTAAATGTCATTTTATGAATGTGTCTCTTTTTTTTTCTTTATTCCCTCTTTTCCCTCTCCCAGTGCTTTAATCTTCTTACAAACCCCAGAAATTTCCTGCCATCCCAGGCAGATTACTGTTCATTGGAACATGTGTTTGCTTTCTACTAATCTTTTTGCACTGCCACGAATTAATTTAAACTGTCCTTCAGCCATGACCTGAGGCTGGCTGGTTCTGGGACTTGGAGCAGCTGCTTGTGCGCCTTCAGAGCCCTTTCCCTGCCTATCCCAAACTTCCAGGCATTTCAAAATCGAGCAGGAGAGAACAGTGAAATCCCTGGCTGCTGCTGCTCTCACACGCACTTTTTTTTTTTGGGTTTTTTTTTCCCTTAAGGTGTGGGACAACTCCTACTCTCTGCCAGGTTTTGATTGGCTTTCCAAAGAGGCAGTGTCCTATAAATTGCCTTCTCTGCTCTGCTTCTGCCTTATCACCAGCTGAGGTCCAGGTGAGTACAGGAGAGGGAAAATTCCAGCTGCAATTCCATTGCCTAATCTTTGAAATTAACTTTGGTTATTGGTTTAAATTACTGGGGTGGGGGAAATAACTTTGATGTTTCAGGGTAAAACTTCCTCATTTTGCTAACACTTTCTAATATCAGTTTGAGTTGATAAATTAGATCAGGGACTGAGAAACTATTCAAAAGGGGATGTGGGAAGGGGTTTGAAAATGTATTGTAGAATCATGGAATGGTTTGGGTTGGAAGGGACCTTAAAGCCCATCCTGTTTCATGGGCAAGGATACCTTCCACTATAAATTATATCTATGTATTATATAGGTATTTTTTTTTTCTTCAGTTCCCAACAGAACAGAAGTATTCCCCTTTGGGATAGTGAAATCCCAAACTATAAAAATATAAAATATTTTATATCCCCAAATATAAAAAATATAAAATATTTATATATTTGGGGATATAAAATATCCCCAAATATAAAAAATACAAGTTATTTACATCAGTTAAATTAATTTTTTTATATGTGTTCAGAGCTGTTGACTCCTGGAAGTTATTTAAGGTGGAAAATTTGGATTTAGGAGAATGAGCTTTCCTGTATGAGTTGCTTTTGCAAGTTAATGACTGTGTGGGGCTGACTTCAGCTATTTGGGGAAGTGTTTTTAAGGCATAATATTGATTTCTTTATATATCTGTGCATTTATGGCAACTTTAGTAGCCAGTCACACCTTTCCCCCCTTTGTATTTGAAATAGAAATAAATGCCATCAGTGGAGGTTTTTGCAGCAGCTCTGCTGCCTGGCTGTTTCTGTGCCTGGTATAAAATACATTTACTGTTCTGAGTCAGACCTGGGAGTAAATTCTCAGCTTAAGCCTTTGTGGTTTCACTCCAGGTATGTTTGGAAAAACCAGTCCAGTCACTGGGAAACCAATTTTAGTCACAGCCAACTTTTGTTTGTACTTTGCAAAGCTCAAAATGCCTTTTCAGGTACTTGGAGTGGAAATTTTTTGTCACACAGACCAGTGAATCTCTCTCAGTGCTGGAAGATTTTATTCTTTGATGCTGAAATAGGAAGGGATTATCATGAGAGCTGGTGCCTGGCTTCAGATGGAATTTGGATATTTCCAAGGGTGGGCACTCCCATCACCTCTCTGGGCATCTCAGACCAAGTCTTTTTGATCACTTTAAATGTATTTTTTTAATAATGCAGTTTTATGGGGCTGTCTTACTAGACAATATTTAGCAAATCTGTATTTAAATAGCAGAACTCCCTCAAGTACCAGAACATTCTCAGTCAGGTGTCTTAAGAAGTGAAAGGAACACCCACATTAATCACTTGTTTGCTTTTCTCTGCAACTGGAATTCATCTGCAGCAATGAACTGCTGCAATTTCTTGTGGAGAGCTTCCATCTACCTGACTCTCCTTTTTAGAATATATGCCCCAAGAAAGGATTTGACAGGGTAACCCCATCAGGCAAGTTTGAAATATGCTTTCATCTGGGAATTTACATATTCTAGATATTGGGAGATACTTAAAAATTGTTCAGAGGGGACAAGGAAAAAATGAATGGTTGTGCCTTGAGGATTTTATTTGAGAGAATTAAATTTGCACCACAGAAACGACCAGTTGTGGCTGCAGGTGTCATTTATTTGGAGTATTTTGCATTTCCTTCCGCAGTATGAAAGATTTGGAGAGCAAGAACTCAAACTGAATGCAGCACAGAGTAAATTATACGTATGTGAAATAATTAGGACATTTTCCTGTGGCCTGGCTAAGCCCTGCCACTCCTCTGTTTGCTTTCTGGGTACTGTCCATCCTGAGTGTTAAATCAGAGTAAATCTCCCTTTTTTTAAAGGTATTTCCTGCTGCCTCCTTGGCTCAGCTGCTCTTGCTGATGCAATCCTGAGGAGTTTTGCTTATTCACAGCAACCTGCAAAACTTTCACTCCAAACGTGGCATCACAGCAGCTTTGTTTTATTCTGTATTTATCCTTAAAATCACAGTTTTGAGTGATGCTTTTAAAAAAGGTTTAAACTTCAGCTTTACAGTGTTCTCCCTGTCCATTTTTCTGGGCTGTGGATATTTTCCTGAGCTCATTCCAGGGAATACATTACCTCTGCTCATGTTACATCCCAGGCTGCTTTCAGCCCTTGCTTGGCACAATCCCCCAGCCCTGGGATGGCATCAAATTCCTCCGGATCCCTGCAGAGTTTTCTGGGGGAACGTTTTAAAAGTCGTTTAATGGGTTTGAATCACTCGTGACTCATCTTTTGTCTCTCTCCTCGGCAGCACACCTGAAGGGGAAAGATGCCAATCGTCAGGAACCTGGGCAGAGCTGCCAGCCAGCTGCTGCAGAGCTCTGGCTGTGGCTGTGGGGTGTCCCTCGTGCCCGTCCGGGCCATCGGGGTGTCCCCACGCCAGGTGGCCTCCGACGCCAGCTTCCACTCGGTGACCTTCTCCGAGTCGGATCATCCCCGGGTGCTAATCACAGGTCAGCATTCCTGGCACAGCTGGGTTCCTGCTTCTCAGCTGAGCTTTCCCACTGCTCTCCTCCCTCCCCAAAGGGTACAGTTCTGGAAGCAAAAATACCCCAAATATCCTGGAATTGGGATGATCTTTCCCATCAGGCAGTAAGATTGGAGTCCCATGTGAACTTTCCTATTTCAATTCCAAAACTCTTCTAAAACCAGTTCCTTGAGAAAAAAATGTAAAAGCTTCCTGACTCGCTGAGAAAATCATACTAATTCTTGATGTGATACAGATAATAATGGAATTCTGCATTGTGACCCCCCCCTTTTCCTCTGATTTTTGTCTCTTAGGTGGTCTTGGCCAGCTCGGGGTGGGACTTGCAAAGCTGCTGAGGTGAGTCACCATTCCCTGGCTTGCTGTGAGTGATGAATTCCAGCTTTAGCCATCACTTCTAGGAGCAATAGTTGTCTGGAAAGTTGTTTATAAAAGAAATCCTATTTTTCAAATGCTGGTTTTGCCTCTTGGTTTTGTAGATGATGTTAATGGCTGGACTTGATGATCTTAAAGGTCTTTTCCTTAATGATTCTATAATTAAATTTTCACCATCACTTTATTTGTCCCTCCTGTGCTTGCTGTGGGTTCCTGACGTATTTTCTGCGTGTCCATTGGTCACAATTCCCAAAATAGCAGGATTTTGTCTGAGGGACTGCCTGCTGAGTTGTTTGCTCCCAGTTAAATGGGAGTATTCAGAGTCTGAGACCTCAGAGTTTCCCTTCTTTTTCCTTCTCCTTTTCCCCACCTCAAGCACAGTTACCTCCTCTTTTTTATAACATCTTTTCAAGAAGTGTGAAATGATCCAAGTGCTCTCCCTGATCCATGTCCTTGTCCATATCCAGCTCAGCTGCAGTTTATCATTTGCTCACAGTCTTTGCTGGAGGGAGTTTAGACCAAGACCAAAAGTAAGCAGACTCACTGCACTCAACACTGTGGCAGTTTGCACATTTTCTACCATTTCTATGATATATTTTAAAGTTATCCAAATAATGGGAGGCCAGAATGTGCTCCAATGCCCCCAGATCTGCTCTCTCCAACAGCCTTGTGTTGATGAGAACAAGGTCACAATTTCCCTATTTTATTTGCTTAGTTGATTTAAAAGTAACTGCAGCTACAAAAATCCCAGTGGCTTTTTGTTGTCTACAGGGGAGTAAATTATCCCTGTGTAAAATTTTCAGTAAAAAAAGTGTAGGAAAGTCTGTTTTCCCAACATATTTTCACATCCTAAAAAATTTCTCTATCCTTATGCAGACCTTGACTGCTACTAGAAGTATTTCATCATTTTTTAAGATGTTGTGTTGATATTTAAAGGATTGTTTGGGTTTTTTTGTTTAATGCAGTAACTGATTTTATTATGGAAAATATTGTTCATCTTCTATCATTCCTGCAAAACAGAATAGCAACTTATGGGTTATCTCAAAAACCTGTGGACTCACTGTTCCCTGTGGGTATTTTTACACAGGAAACGCTTTGGAAAGAACAATGTGATCTTGTCTGACATTAGAAAGCCTGCAGATAATGTTTTTTATAGTGGTAAGTGACTGGGGAAGCACATGGAAGAAAAAAACCTTGACTTTACCTCTGATGTTCGTAAACTAATTATCAGTGATAAGTGGATTACACTGACAAGCTGCTGTTCAAACCTTCTGCATAATGCCTCCCTGCTTTCAAATCCTGCCAAGATGTTGGTTTCTTCTCTTATTCCCTTTTCCTAAATATTTCTCTTTGTGTTTTTTCATTGCTGCTGTGCCACTTTCCTGTCTCGAATAACTATTTGAGGCACCTTGTGCTCCTGCTGTAAAAAGAGGTGCTTTTATTCTTTTGGAGGGAGGAAGTTGGAAATGAAACTTGTGCTTTGTTTTTACATGCTCAGGGAATTTTTACTATGAGGTGGATATAGAGTAGGATTTCGGACTCTTTGATTTTTAGTGGAAACGTGTGAAAATTTTTCCTCAACCTCGCTGTTTAGTGATGTTTTTAGGTGGTAGAAACAGCAGCCTGAGCTTCACGCAGAACCTTCCTTCCATCCATTCCTGACATCCAATTTCCCACTGCTTCCACCTCCTCCAGGTCCTTTCATCTTCGCGGATATCTTGGACTACAAGAACCTGCGGGAGATCGTGGTGAACAACCGCATCACGTGGCTGTTCCACTACAGCGCCCTGCTCAGCGCCGTGGGAGAGGCCAACGTGCCCTTGGCCAGAGCTGTCAATATCACTGGTGTGTGCTGGGGTTTGGGTGCTTAAAGCTGTGTCAGGGCAGGTTTGGGCTGGAGATCAGGGAAAGGTTCTTGCCCAGAGGGTGTCGGGCACTGGAACAGCTCCCCAGGGAATGGTGGCATTCCCAAGGCTGCCAGAGCTCCAGGAGTGTTTGGACAGTGCCTACAGGGTGGGATTGTTGGGGTGTCTGTGCAGGGCCAGGAGTTGGACTGGGTCATCTTGATGGGTGTCTTCCAGCTGAGAATATTCTTGAATGGCTTGAGAAAGCAGAAGTGTTCTGATAAACGCTGTTGTTTTGTGGTTTTTTTCCCCACAGGTTTACACAATGTTCTGGATATTGCAGCTGAGCACAATTTGAGGCTCTTTGTTCCAAGCACCATTGGAGCCTTTGGACCCACCTCTCCTCGAGATCCAACTCCTGATCTCTGCATTCAGAGACCAAGGACAATCTATGGAGTCTCCAAGGTCCACGCTGAGCTCATGGGAGAAGTGAGAATTTTTCATTTTATTAATTTCCTAAAAGGTCTGGTAGAACTTCACTGAAACAGGTTTCCCAAAGAAGCTGTGGCTGCCCCATCCATGGGAGTGTCTAAGGCCAGGTTGGACAGGGCTTGGAGCAGCCTGGGATAGTGAGTGGCATCCCTTCCCATGGCAGGGGATTGGAGCTTGATGATCTTTAATCTCCCTTCCAACCCAAACCACTTTGTAATTTCATTGTGAATATCACACAGTCCTGCTGCCAGATTTGAGACAGGCGACTTTGGGGTTGGTCTGAGGTTTGTTGACTGTTATGAAATGCACAACACAGATTATACACATCCATTATCCTCTTTCCCAGATTATGCTGTCCAGATTTTCCATGATGCCATAAAGACTGGGAAATTCAAGTGTTACCTGAGGCCAGACACCCGGCTGCCCATGATGTACATCGATGACTGCCTGAAAGCCACGCTGGAGATCATGGAAGCCCCTGCAGAATCCCTGACCATGAGGACCTACAACATCAGTGCCATGAGCTTCACTCCTGAGGAGCTGGCCCAGGAGGTGCAGAAGTATGTCCCTGAGCTCCAGATGACCTACAACGTGGATCAAGTCAGGCAGGCCATAGGTTAGTATTTTCCCTGGCAACTGGTAGGAAAAAACGTCATTGGGGTGAAATAAAGTCATAAAGTCTCTTTTCTTTTTAGGAACTGACAAATTGCTCCTGTGCAGTTCAAGTCTTAAGGTTCAAAATTCAGCTTTAGTAATGATGAAACATCTCAAAGTTCAGAGAGATATTTTCCTAAACCTCACCTTTCTTGGTTCTTTTTCTTTTTTTTCCCTGCAGCTGACAGCTGGCCCATGAACTTCGACGACAGCAACGCCCGCAGGGACTGGGGTTGGAAACACGATTATGACCTCCCCGAGCTGGTGACCACCATGTTTAGCTACCTTGGGTCTGACTCTAGGATTGCCCAAGCTAACTGAAATGATTTCAGATGTTTCCAGATTTCCACAGAGGACCAGGAAGAAATGGCTGAATTTTAGTTTCTAATTTTCTGAGTCTTAGAGCATGTCAGTTACTAATTTTTGTAAGTAGTGACAGAGTTGGGCAGAGATGTCCTGTAGCTGGAATGTCCTTTAGATACTAAACAACAGCACTGGGTGCTGTCCCCAAACACAGCACTGCTGACAAACACAGAGTTCTTTAACTTAGGGAAAAACACCAAAATAACACTTATTCCTGGCTGATGGCTCTCCAATCATTCCTGCCTCTTCCTTGGCAAACAATGTGGGATAGCACTGTCCAACCTGGCCTTTCAGGCATATCCCAAAAAGTGAACGATAGGTTTTGCTTTTTCCTGGTGGAGGATGTTAGGTTGTAGCAAGAACCTTTTTACTCTTTGCTTACAAAAAAGACATCACAAGAGCTGTTTCATGTTTCCAAATTGCAGGGGGTTGTTGCAATTCTAGTTTGAAATCAAACTTTTCTCAATAGCTCCTATTTATATCTCTCTTCAGTGCTGTCTAAGCATACAGTTTTCTATACCTAGGGCATACAGAGTAGCATTCTTATGATGCTGCTTATAAATGTGAAGTGGAATAGGACTTGAATACTCATCATGCTTTAAAAAAACCAAGGTTTACAAGCAAAGCTTTGTCCTGTTCTCTGCAAGTGCTGCTGCCTTCAGTGCAGCCTCAGAGGGAGAGCTGAAATCCGAAGAGCTGTTCCATGGATGTGAGCCTGGGTGGGATTTCAGGGAGGCCAAGCCTCTGGCTGGGGTTTTTAGAAGTACTTTTGGTTCTCCCAGTTGTTTGGAGTTCCTGGAGCAAGTTTTAAAGGTGGGCTGAGGATGGAGCCTTACTGTAGAATCGGGTCACCCTTGGAAATCTTTCCTGTTCACCCCATTTTCCACGTGCACTGTGTTTGTAGATGCTATTTATATGTAACTCATACCCTTTTATTCTTCAGAGAGGGATCCAGAAGCTGAAACCATCTTCTAGCTACAGCTAAGGGCTGTTCTGCTCGTTGAGTTTCATGCGCAGGAGATTCTGGGATGAACAAGGGAGTTTTAGTAGGTGTGTGAGAGGAAGAGGTGTCAGTTCAAAAGCTACTTAGGAGACTGCAGGAAATGACAAACTGGAGAGACAGGAAAGCCATTGTAGGTAAAATACCAGTTTCCATGGATATGCCTGAGCTGTCAGCTACTCCAGCTGAGAAACAGCCTCTGGGAGCTTTGGACTTTTATTTTTTTCAAAGAAAAAATACCTTTCATTTTCAGAATGACTGGAAATTCCCTACAGGAAGCTCTCCTTTTTTGTTTTTCTTTCTTTTTTTTTTTTTTTTTTGTCTCATGTACTCCAGTAGTGTGTGTAGGTAAAAATATTCAAGGTTTTTTTTGTTGTTTTTTTTTTTTTTTTTTTTTTTTTTTGCCTATAACTTGTTTGCTCTGTTTTCTGTGATGGTGCTTTGGTGGTTGTGAGTCTGCTGTGTTCTCTGTAACCCTGCCATGATCAGACTTTTGTCTCTTTGTGCAGGAGTTCTCCTGCAGGGAATATGTTTCCTCACAAAAGTAACCTTCCAGTGAAGATTCTGTGGTGAAACCCAGTTATTTGAAACATTTGTTACACTTGTATCTCTTGGTTTTGTACGTATTTTATCCTTTCGTCTGTGGGCAAAGTAGGAATTTCCCAGGTATTTAAGCTCAAGGGTCGTGGCTGTTACTGAAACATTTTTATATTGTTTACATTGCTGAAAGGACAAATTTTTAAACTCTGGCCACTTTGTAACTCTCACGTAGCTCAAGTGTAATTTTTGGCCCAATGGGCTGGTGGAGTCGGCCTTCCCTTCACACCCTCTGAGGAGAGACTGGCTGGGCTTTGTCCTCTGCCCAAAAGGATGGGATCCAGACTGGATTATCTCCCAGGGACCTGGCAGGTGAAGGGCTGGAAAGGAGCTGAAGTGTCTTGTCCACTCCTCAGTGCCTCTGTTCCACCTTCAGGAAGTGTAAAATAAAGAATTGTTGATGGGCCTCACTCCATGTCCTTATGTCATAGTCCTGGGGACTGATCCCCTCACCCTCATTCCCAGCTCCAGTTTAATTGGAGTCAACAAGAGGGAGGAGCAGGAATGTTCTTTCTTGTGGAACACTGTCCTTGGTGGTGGAATTACACAAAAACCTTGGAACAGGTGTCATGGCAAAAATGAAATTCAAACCTATGGCATTTTGAACACAGTTTTGGTTTTCCTGCCAAGATGTTACTGGCCTCATTAGGAGCAGCCATTTAAGCAACTTAATTTTTTAAAATCTGAAATGAACAATGTTCCTATAGAGAGTGGTCTGGAGGAAACTGTGGTGACAATCAGGGAATGTTATTAAACGTGTCTGCAAGGTCTGTGTCCTGTTTAAAATGCTCATTTTCAATCTCACCAATGATCTGTATATTTTCCCCCCCCCATGTTTTCCACATCAACTTCTCTTGTAATGATGTCACAATTTTTTTTCTGTATTAAACCAACTTGATGTGGTTCAAAATATGTACCTTTTTCTACCAGTTGTAAGTTTGACTTCTGGGCAGAGACTTCCCTCATGACACTTGAGCACTGTGGCTGTTAAATTACCTATTCAGGACAAAAAAAAAAAAAGTTTAAAAATATGTTGTTAATAATATTTTTTCAACTATTGCTAGTTGTGGGTGATGCCTACTTTAATAAAATCCTATGCAGATGGATCCTGGGTTTGTCATCCTTGGTTGGAGCAGGTGGGAGCAGTGCTGGGGGCTCCAGGAGAGCTGGAGAGGGACTTGGGACAAGGGATGGAGGGACAGGACACAGGGAATGGCTTCCCACTGCCAGAGGGCAGGGATAGATGGGATATTGGGAAGGAATTCCTGGTTCCTCCTCACTCTGCTCTGGGCACTGACCACTTCTGCTTTTTCCAGGTCTTCTTGGGGCTTGGCACTTTATTTGAGCTGACTCAGGTGATCCCAGAAATGTTCTTGTAGATCCAAATTTGGGGTGTCCACTTGGAGAAGGCTCCAGGGAGACCCCAGAACCTCTTTCAGAGCCTAAAGGGGCTCCAGGAAAGCTGGAGAGGGACTTGGGACAAGGTGTGGAAGGACAGGACACATGGAATGGCTTCCCACAGCCAGAGGGCAGGGATAGACGGGATATTGGGAAGGAATTCCTGGCTGTGAGGGTGGTGAGGCCCTGTTGGGTCTCTGTTTCTGTGTCTGAGCAGGTCCTGCCCCCAGGTGTTGCACAAGCTGTGATGGGTTAGCAGAAGCTTGGGTGAGGAGATGACACTCGTAAATCCCCACAGCCCCACCCTGCCTCCTTAATCCATGGATAAACCCTCCCTGAAGGTGAAACAAGGCCTTGCCCTCCTCCCACACCTTGGCTTTCCAACGATGGGAACCTCTGGTGGGGAGAACATTCCTCCTGACCGCAGTTCAATGACTAACGTGGCCACTGTGCTTCCAGGGGTGTTGCAGCACCGCGCTCTTCCAGCTGCTCCCCTTTCATCCTTGGTCTGGATCTTGCCGAGTCCTGTTTGACACAAGCCCAGCCTGGCTTTTAGAGGTGCCAGAGGTGATGGTGCTGCCTCCAGAGCTGCTGCAGCTGGAGCCAGGCTGGGAGAGCTGGGGGTGTTCATCTGGAGAAGAGAAGGATCCAGGGAGAGCTCAGAGCCCCATCCAGGGCCTAAAGGGGCTCCAGGAGAGCTGGAGAGGGACTTGGGACAAGGGGTGGAGTAATGGCCTTAAACTGAAGGAGGGTGGGTTTACATGGGATATTAGGAGGAAATTCTTCCCTGTGAGGGTGGGGAGGCCCTGGCACAGGGTGCCCAGAGAAGCTGTGGCTGCCCCTGGATCCCTGGAAGAGTCCAAGGCCAAGTTGGATGAAGCTTGGAGCTACTTTCGTCTCTTGGCTGTTTAAGGCATCAGACAGATGCAGGAAGAGGAGGAAGCTCCTTCCCTCAGTGGAAAGGTGTGAGGGATGTGAGGGATTAACTCCTGTGCTTTTGGAAAACCCTTGCTGCCACTCCTCAGGTTGGAATCAAGCCCCCAACTGTTTGTCAGGTGCTCTGCATTTCTGCAAGGAAGAGAAGTTGAGCCCAGGGAGGTGAAGAGGAGAGCATTTGGGTTATCCAGAGGGAAATCTAGGGGCTGGGATCCCCACCTTGCAGCCCGCTCCCCACACTCCATGTTTCAGCCAGGCCTGGTGGCTTTCCTGCCCCCCTGCAGGCAGGTTGTGTCTGTTTTAGGGAACATCAGCTGACATTTGCCCTTCTCCTGGAGCCTCAGGCCAGACAAATTCTCTCCAGGCTATTTCTGGCTTCATACCATAACTGTATTTGATCCTAAATTCCTCGTGGGACTGAGTGCCTGTGGCATGCTGGGGCTGAGGGGCAGGGAGAGGGCAGCTCCTGGAACAAACCCAGGGATTTCAGGATGACTGGGATGACATAGTGCAGCTCAGAGCTGGCACACACAACTGTGGAGATGCAATTCAAACGACATTTATGCCTCAGCAGCCCCATTATGGAAGGTATATCTGGACTGGGCATTGCTCAGCCAGGAAAGAAAGTTGTTTCCTGCCCTTGTTTCTGCAACTATGAGCAGTTTAGGATGTTTTCCTGCCCCTAAAGCCCTTGTGCAGCCTCCAGGAGCTCCTGAGAAGGTGCAGCACAAAGGTTAACATTCACTTTTGAGGGGATTTAAACTTTTTAACCAAAAAATATAAACAGCCTTTTGCCCTCTCCCCTAGTCTCATATGGATCCCTAGAGTAGAAGACCTGGGGTGCAGGATAATATTTCTTCTAAACTCAAGCAGAGCTTTGATATCCCAGTTTGGAAAAGAGAAGGCTCCAGAGAGACCTGAGAGCACCTTCCTATGCCTAAAGGGGCTTCAGGAGAGCTGGAGAGGGACTTGGGACAAGGCATGGAGGGATGGCACAAGGGGGAATGGCTTCCCACTGCCAGAGGACAGGGATAGATGGGATATTGGGAAGGAATTCTTGGCTGTGAGGGTGGTGAGGCCCTGGCACAGGGTGCCCAGAGAAGCTGTGGCTGCCCCTGGATCCCTGGAAGTGTCCAAGGCCAGGTTGGACAGGACTTGGAGCAGCCTGGGATAATGGAAGGTGTCCCTGGCAGGGGGTGGGACTGGTTGCTCTCAAAGTTCCCCTCCAACCCAAACCATTCCATAATTCCATAATTCTGTGAACTCTTCCACAGGTAGGTGTGAAGTTGAACGGAAAACTGATCTGGGAATGCATCCTCAGGAACTCCCCTGATGAGCTTTGGACCAATCCTAAAAAAGAGGAGGTCCTTGGCAGGGCACACCTGGCTCCAAGGACACTGATCGTTTTTTGGCACGGTGGGGGCGTTGCTGCCAGGGTGATGTCACCTCACCTGTGTGAAGCAACAGACCACACACCTCTCCAGCCTTTCCACTATTCCAGGTTAAAGATCTGTCACCAGCAGAGCTGTTGCAAAAAGGATGAGTCAGAGGAGAGAGAGTAAAGTCCAGAGTTCATCCCCTTTGGCTCAACCTGGCCCCAAAGTCCCCAGATTTGAGGCATTTTTAAAGCTCTTCTTCCTGGACCCTTGTGATGCCAAGAGGCTTATAGGAGGTTTAGGAAAAATCCTCACCTTTCTAGTCCTTGTAATTTTAAGGAAAAATTGGTCTTCTAGAAATGAATATGAAGCATGTGAGCTCCAAAATCTATAATTAATTTTTAAGATGGTTGAGTTTTAATATTTTATCACTATTTTATCACTATTTTATTTATAAAAATTATTTGTCTTATTATCACGCTTACTTTAGTGGGATCAGTTTTTCACTATATCCACAGCAATATTCCTTTGGTAAATGCAGGAATGACACAATAATTGCTCAGATATGGCTTGCCAACATGTCCTAAATTGTGTTAAACTGCTAAAATGACTTTTTTTTTTTAGGGTGTATTGTAGGGAACTCATCACAGAGTGTCTGTGTGTGTTTGGCTGTGCACAAACACCACCACAAGAATGCTGTTTCATGGGATAAGTGGTTTATTGAGCTCCAGCTCTAGGGAAACTTGGTTTGGTGTGGATTTGTGGTTGCTGTGGGTGTCTAATATTGAAATAAAATATGTTCCTTTTGCCTGAGTCCAGCCCCATCCTGGAGGACACACATGTGCTTCCACACTTTTCCCAGCTGCACTTGCCTTTGGGGAAGGTAAAAGGAGGAAAGGTCAATAAATTGCTCATTTATTTTTTCATGTGTTTTGTCCATGGTTAGGTGTGGTTTAAGCAGGTCTGAAGTTGAGGCAGGGATGAAGAGATGTCACACTTGGCTTTGTTGGAAACTTTGAGAACTGGTAACCCCAATTCCTCCTGCAATATTTCCCCTACCTCAAGGTAGCATGGAAGCTGACACATAAAACAAAAAAAAGTAATTTCATGTCAGGTCAGAGCTGAATTTGCCAGAACAGAGAGTAGCAGGAAGAGGAAGAGGGGTCAGTGAGGTGCAGATCCTGCTCATCCAAGCCCAGGACAGCTGATCACAGAAACAGACAATGGAATATCAGCATTAAGGTGGGAACAAACCTCCAAGATTATCAAGTCCTGTCTTTGACTGGATCCCATCATTCCCACTGAACCACGTTGTGAAGAATCTTCTGGTTTCCCCCACCACCTCTCCTCTCACTTCTCCATGAATTTTGCCACCTCCATAGAGGCCTTGCAAAGCTCTAACTGGCACAGGGCCCACCCAGAAGTTTTTTGGGCTGTTTTTAATACGCTGTCTGGCTGAGGAGCTGCCAAGAAAACAGCAAAATATTCATCCATCCATCCATCCATCCATCCATCCATCCATCCATCCGTCATCCATCCATCCATCATCCATCCATCCATCACCCATCTATCATCCATCCATCCATCATCCATCCATCCATCCATCCATCCATCCATCATCCATCCATCATCCATCCATCCATCCATCCATCCATCCATCCATCCATCATCCATCCATCCATGGGACCCTCAGCCCTTCTGGGTGAAAAAGCTGCCCTGTCCCTTTTCCAAGAGCAGCAGGCTCCCTCTGGGCATGCCGTGGATGACACAGCAGATGTTTGGGTGCTGATGATCCCGGGGGTGTTTGCTCTCCTGGCAGCGTGTCCCAGGATCAGTGCCAGGAGCAGATTTCCCACCTCCAGCCTTCCTGCCTGGCAACAGCAGCCAGGCCCATTGGCCTGAGGCAATCCTGAGCCTTTGGGGGACATTTCCCACCCATCCCTGGGCACGTAGACCTGGCAGTGACCCCAGGGCCTCAGCTGGCAGGAGACTGAGGCCATCAGGGTCAGCATTCCATGGGAATGGTGGCACCTCAGTCCCTGGGGACACCCCACAGCCCTCTCAGGACAATGTCTCTATGCAAGGGCCTGGGGAGCTTTTGGGAGGTTTTGGTTCTCCAGAGGTCACAGCCATGGTGTGAAGGGAGCTGTGGTGGAGGAGAGCTGTGCACAGGAGGAAAAAGGCATTGTTCGGCTTGGTTCCATGGAGGGGCCACAGTCCACAGCCCCCAAGCTGTTGGCTGGAGGCAAATAAAATAAATTGTAATTTAATGATTAAAAAAACCCCACATTAAAATAGTAGAACCATGGAATGGTTTGTGTTGGAAGAGAGCTTAAATACCATCTCGTTCCACCCCCTGCTATGTCCAGGGACACCTTCCACTATCCCAGGCTGCT